TAGTTTTGGCTAAGGAAGAGAAAAATTGGTCCCTTAGTCATAATTGTATTGTGATCTATGTCCCCATTCTCCTGTTAAATGGAAGCCACCAAAGCAGGAAGTGATGACCACATCTCTCCGATCACCAATCCTGGTGATACCTGTTACTTCTTATTTCTTAATCTAGTGTCACCAGGACAGGAAGCAAGGAGATACCTCTAATGTTGATCACTAGTGAGGAAGTCATAGAAAATAATGTCATTATAATTCACCTATTCACCTCAATCTGCTGACATAGGCAGACTCTCCCGGTGAGTAGTCAGTTTGTGAAAGGATCTGCAGAGGAAAATATCTTCTCAGGAAAAAGACAAAAGGAAAAATCTGCAATAAATTCTAATAAATGTTACGGGGGTAGTTTCCTATTTTCTCAATAATTTATTCCTAATTAGGCGATGCTGTCCTGCTTTTCATAGGGGCTCAGAGGGAGCATCAAAAGTTCAGTCCAGTCTTTAGACCATAAAAAGGGCTGATTAAATTTACATTTAATCTTTTTGCTGCCAGGCCCCGTTCTTCATTTTTCATCTCACATGGCCAGATCATTTTTGCAATTTTTCACTTTTTTAAAATCATTTTTTACTTACAGCTTTCAGCGTTTGTAAAACACTCCCCCTGCCCCCCACAAACCATTTTCTGAAAGGACAGGACCAACTGATCTAAAATATAGTGCTACTGATTTGGTAGGTCCTGTGATATGTGCACAAATGTTTACCAAAACACAATTTCGAATAGAAATATGCTAACATCATTATTAATGCACACAACAAAATGACTTACAAAATTCCTGCTACTAAATCTGAATAAAACGATTTTACTGAATTAATTATTAATATTTTAACATTTTAAATTGTGAGTTTTTGTGAAGATGTGAAAATCACATATGTACTGTGCGTGTGTATACACTTAAGTAGTGTCACCGGGGCATAACAAGCCTCTTGATAGGAGTATATACAACATCTGTGGCAAGTCCTGTTTGGAGAAACACCAGGGGTTTAAACAGACCCCTGATGTTTCTCCTTTGTGATAGACAAGGAGATCTACAAATGAACACTGAAGTGCTCAGTGCTGAGTGCTTCTGTGTTCATTCACAGAACTGAAAGAGGTAGTAGTGAACATGCCAATCATGTTCACGCACCTTCTTCAGTATGAATGAATTACTCAATAGTTCTGTGTTCATTCAACAGCCTATTTACTGACCTCTCCTCCAGCCATCCTGAACACGGAAAAACTGCAGATGAGACCAGCATGAAGTCTTAATACTGGCATCATCAGCTGT